CCGCAGCAGCCGCAGCAGCCACATCATGTGCCACAGCAGCAGCCGCAGCAGCCGCAGCAGCCACAGCAGCCACATCATGTGCCACAGCAGCAGCCGCAGCAGCCGCAGCAGCCACAGGCGCCTGTGCAGCAGCAAGCACATCAGCCGCAGCAAAGGCAGCACCTCGAGAATGTACCTCAGCAACAACATCAGCAGCAGCAACAGCAGCCTGCGCAGCAGGCAGCTCAGATTCAAATGAATTTGGAGCAACAGAAGGCCCTTCTTCAACAAGTTATGAATCTGACGGCAGAGCAAATTCAGTGCCTACCACCAGATCAGAGGCAGCAAGTTCTTCAACTTCAGCAAGCTTTGGCTGCAACAGAAGGATCACGACGATGATCAAAGGGTGTTGCAGCAAAAGCAAAAGGTTGGATTTGCCACTGAAGTTTTGCGGGTGCAGTACAGGTTCCCTGCTACCGTCTTCACCCAAATAGAGCGCCCAATCATTATCGCCGCATCTGGACTGGAAGTTGCCCCAAATACAGCTATAATGACCGTGCGTTCTATTTGGGTAAGATAGTGGCCAGTGTTTTTTGCAGTTCGTGCAATGTGAGGACTGGAAGTCCTCCCTGCAATCGTCTATGTCTCTGGGAGAAAAGAGATACCAGGAGTGTTTTTCTGGCTTGACATGGCCTTGCGAGCGATCAGGAACTTCCGCGAAATTCATTGCTTAGGTAATGTGTGGGCCCCTCTTTTCCAATCTCATCTTCGTTTTTTTTCCCCCTTGTTTGAAAAAAACTGGTTTGCGTTTCTCATCGGGGATATATTTTGGACGATCCTGAAAGTGAGGTGCATTCAAGGACCAGTACCTCCTGAGCCTCTTTTTGCCGTGGCACATTCGCACTGCACGCCAAGCTTTGCCAAACCACTGGTGGCATACTTTTTTTTCTTTGTTTGGGCTGGTGCTGCCAGCCGTTGTGGTCCGGTAGCCCTTTCAGATTGGCTCAATTTCGATTCTCAAGTTTTCCTGGGCGATGTACTGGCGGTTTAAGGTTGTAAGGATAGTGTGGACAATCGTGTGAGTGAGGCGTGGATGGACAATTGGCGAATGTGGTGTGTTCTGACATGGCTGGAATCATACAAATGAGGTGGTGAATTGAGGCGTTCGAAAGAACCAAAGGTAGAGTGCAGGGGTACCCTTGAAAAGAACGGGCAACCGACAGGGGAGGAATGTGCGTCGGATACTTTTGGGAAGAAGAGGTGATGTAGAGCGGAAATACGAGGGATTGGTTGGCAATGATGATTCATCACGTGCCCAATTTTGTGAGACAATTGAGATATGTTAGTGGAGGAAGTAGAGATGGAGGGGAAGAGGGGGGCGGGGGGGACGGACTGCGGACAGGATGTACAGGAACTGCTCTCCAGCCTGAGAGCGAAAACACGGATGGCAAGAATTGAAGAAAAGGGGAAAGTGAGATCCAGTCCCAGGGCGAGGTCCTTTTGTGGCCCTTTTCACGAGCTTTTGGCCGGTTTATTTCAGTATGATACCAGAACCTTGGACCGGTATGGGAGTTCAGGAGGCTTTTCAGGAGGGGGAAGTGATGGCGGACAGGGCAGAGCAGCACCATCATCGGATGCGGACTGCTCGCTAGACCAAAAGCAGACAAGCAGATGGCAAGATTTGAAAAGGGGAAGTGATAACCCAAGGGCCTTTGGTGGCCCTTTGCAGGAGCTTGTGGCCAAGTCAATTTGAGTACGAGGTCATGACCTTTGGACCGAGATGGGAGTTCAGGAGGCTTTTCAGGAGGTTTTTACAGGGGGAGGGACAGTGGACAGGGCAGAGCAGCACTATCATTGGAAGGAAACTGCTCTCTAGACTGAGAGCCAACAAGCGAATGGCAAGAATTGAAAAGGGGAAGTGAGACCCCTGTCCCAGGGCAAGGTCCTTCTGTGTCCGTTTTGGGGAGCTTTTGGTCGAGTCAATTTGAGTATGAGGCCATTACCTGGGACCGAAGATGGGAGTTCGCCGTTCGGTAAGGTGTTTAAGGAGAGATCTTCACAGAGTATGGCCAATTTAGAGGCAAAGGGTCAGATCCCACTACCCTGGATTATTCATTTTTCACCCTCGATTACGAAGATCAACGGTCAGAAATGAACAATAGGGGCTAGTGGGATCTGGCCCAAATTCAGGAAGCTTTTTGGGAGATTTTCACAGAGGATTACAAACTTAGAGCAGAGTTCAGGAGGCTTTTCAGGAGATTTGCACAGAGTTGTGACTGATTTAGATGCATCGAATTTGACCTATCGTCTTCCAAGGGGATTCTGGTAGATTCAGTTCAAGCATGACCATCGACCTGGGAGGGGAGGTAGGGAGATTTCTGACGAAATTCCAGCAGTGTCTGTCCAAGAAAGGGAGCATCGCATGGTGGCTACGAGGGGGAGTTTTTAAGGCTTCTGGGTGGAAGATTTTGACAGGAATCAAGCGGGCAACGGGCCTTGATCCTCTACATAACACATTTTGAATGCATCGGGATCTTGCATTGGTCCTGATGCATCCAAAATGTTTGGTCAGGCCGGATGTAATTTGATCACGGATGGTACAGACAGAGACATTTAGAGTATTATGTAGTGGAACAACACACAATGCCACATCTAAAGCCGGTTTGTCTGCAATCGACTGATGTTGGCGGGGCTGTGTCTGACTGCGATCAGTCATACTTACTCTTGCGTACCGCGCAATGGCTGGTTTTAAACCAGGTAAATCCCAACTCCCAGCTCGCTCCGTTTACTCCTTCGAACCACATGTCTTCATAGAGGCTCTCGCTCGAGCAGAAGTGAAAGGTGAAATTCTGGTAGTCTGTCAAAGAAGGCGGCCATCACAATGTGCCTATGATGATTGGGGGGAGTTGGGAAGGCTTGTGGATGGAAGATTCGACAGAAGTCGAGTGGGTAACATCGTTTCTGAAGTCGGCTTGTCTGTAACGGACTGATAATAGTCAGGTGTGTCTACTGGCAGTCTGTTCACGTAAGGGAGCATCACGATGCAACCTATGAGGGGGAGAGTTTGGGAGGCTTCTGTCTGGAAAATTTGGCAGAAGTCAAGTGGGCAATTGCACGTCTGAAGTCGCGGCTTATCTGGAATGGACTGGTGATGGTGGGGTGACTCGGTTGGAGTCGAATCATACTTTTGTCGCCTACTTGTGAAAGTTTGAACTGGTGTGTTGTCCCCTCCGAGAAAACAAAGCCGCGTGTTGGCTGTGGATCTTGATTTCGACTTCTCGAATGTCACTGCCGTGATTTTGGCCCTTCATAAGAATAGTAGAATAGGGAACACCGGTGCTCTCGCCCTTCACCACCGGCATTTGTTTATGGTCAGTCATCATCACAGAGTTCTTGTCACTCCATGGAGTTTGTCGACTAGTGCCAAGCGATTGCAGCAGGCTGCAAATTCATTGATTAGTTGGGGATATGCGGAGTGTCGAGGGTTCAACCTCCTGATGAGTCCATGGAAGTCCGACGAAACGGTCTGCCACAGCCCCTTCGCCTTGCTTTGTGGGTGTAGTTGTATGTACTGTTGCATGTCTGCCAATATGTAGACATTCAATAGTTTGTCGCGTAAATAAATAACACAGCGAATGAGTGAGCCAATGCGCCTACCGGCTTCCCTGGAACACAGGGCACCCTCACTAGGCCTGTAGTGGGTCAGAAAGATAGCTTGTAGGCATTCGTTATCAGGGTGTGTTGTATTCGGGTGAATAGCATAGGCCGCCTGTTTATGCATGGACCCCTCTTAGGGACACAAAGGGGTTTATGTAATGGTTCACTCCTTGTCAACAGTTGAAATGTGAATCCTCATTTCCTAATATGGATGCATTGCATCTTTGCATCGTAGTTGTCGGTGCACATCCCGTGGCCATATCAGATTGCGAATTTTGCTGCTTTCCCAAAGGCCTAAGCTTTTGATAAGTATGCGGAAAACCATGTAAGATACTTTTGGTTGTGTTGTGCTGACCATCTGACAAGCTTTTTTTCAC